CTTATTGCCTTTCTATTTGTTTTTAGGTGTAAAATTCCTGCAGTTCTCATAGAAACCAATAATGCATTTCTCATTCATCTGATTTTTCTCATTTTTGAACTGATATCGCCAACAAAATATAGTCCCTGTTCCAAGTACATGTATTTTTTTCCAAAAAGACATTTTAATGCATGAATGCAGAAAAAATATTATCTATAAATATTAAAGGGTGGTAAAAATTGAAATACAACATAACTTCTCTCCAGGTTCTAGTCACTTACTAGGCACATTTCCATGAATAACCTACCCCATCTCGCTGAAGTCTCGCTGACTCTCGTCAAAGCTTTCGCCAAAGCTACATGTATGTTGAACTCCTCAGGTTTTTTAATTTGCAGAACACCGAAAAAAAAGTCTGAACACATTAGTATGGTGTAAAAAAATATCCATATTGAGTTAATAGTAAATAATAGTAAATAATTAACTGCTTTCGCTTAATGGAGGGGATATTAGTTAACTCCAGGTTTGTGCCTCATTTGCTATTTTGAATGAATTCAAATGAAATTGAAGTACATTTCTACAGGGTGGTTAAAACTGAAACATTACATTACTTCTTTGTTTATCATGTCTCCATGTGCATGTCATTTCCTAACCACATTTCCGTAAATAACCTACCCTCGCTGACTCTCACCAGAGCTACTTCCAAATATATTTTGAACGCCTTGGTTTTATAATTTGCAGAACATCGAAAAAAGTTCTGAACACATTAGTAGGGGTGTATAGAAAATATCAACATTGAGGTAAAATAATGGACTTCTTTTGTTTACGAAAGGGGATAGGAATACATATTTCTGAAATATCTGTAATCAATCAAATCTGGTTATCTTCATATGTAGACTAAGAATAAAATAATTCAGATTCAAAAAACCTTTGGTTTAATTAAACTTCCTTCATAATATACCGATAGAAATGTCGCTTAGAAAGTTTGATATTGATTCATTGTTCTTTGTTTTTGATATAAATATACAATGTACTAAAAAGGAATTTTCTATCTATTATTTCTAGGTTTTGAGGGATTGAAAAAAAAGAGATATTTAGTGCAATGTCGATCTTATTTAAAAAAAAACATAACTGTTTATGTAGTTTCACATGACAACAATCATCTTTACTTATGAATTATGTGTAAATTGATTATGTACAAGTTTCTTGAAATACCCTTAATTATATACAACTAGAAACACATTCATTAATAGTTTTAAGCTTGTATTTACTGATTTTTTATCATGTAAATGTATGCTATATGCTCAAGAGACCCTGCTTTGGAATAATATACGTTAGATCATATTATATCATATCATATCACCATGCAGAGGTCGTTTGATTGGTTCAGAATACTAACAAGATGTTTGCAAAAATAATGTTGAGCCGAAATACTCTCACCCTCTTATAAGATAATTATTATAGATGATGTATTGCACAATAAGTCATGTATATTGTGAATTTCGCCAGTTAACTAAGTATTTTATGCCAATGTATAGGGTATTTATGGTCTCAGATGCTTTGCCTTCCAAGTTCATTTACATTATCATTACATTGTCATCTACACCTGTCATCAGTTTATTGAAAGATTTTTACATTTTCAATGTCTTTGTCCGAGATAAAATTATAAATATTTAATGGACTTCATTTCTTCATAAATGGTCTGGTTCATCAATAAGTGCGGTTAAGAAAATGAATCACAATTAGGGCAGAGCAATTAGAGACAAGAAGCGGGGCTTGTAGCATGTGACTTTGTAGATTCAAGAGCATATAAGTATAAGAAAATAAATGTCACTTTTTTTTATTTTATGACGACGATCATTCGATTGGCTTGCAAGATAATTTTATACATTAAGGCCTTCGGCGTTATTCTTTAAATACACACATGGTAGGATATATATATCCTGCCAAGCAACAAAAAAAAAAATAAAAATAAATGAATAAAAAAATCTTTAAAAAGTTTATAATTTGGATGACACAAGGATTAAGTTGTTATTTTTTCTAAAGTAATCTGTATTTCGACATCACAATGTCAGTTGTATGTAGAATTCTCGCACGAAAATTCGATTCTAACAATCTTTACTGGTCAGTTTAAGCTGGTTAATAGTATGACATTCTCTCCCCACTTTCTCTTCCAGACATGTATCGTTTTTGAAATTTGGAAAGGGGGGGGGGGTAATACAAATCATGACTAAATAATTTTACAAGCTTACAAAAATCCTATAACGTTTAAAGGGGATATATATGGATATAGATCTAAGTTTTTTTTTTCGTGCTTTAGAAAAACTTAAGATTGTAGCAAGTGATATTAAAAAGATAAGATTTACCAGTTTAGAAATAAATGCGGGGTTTGCATTGTTAGCTAGGGCGTAAAAAAAAACAGACGCGAAAAAATACAATGAACGAATTTTAGAAGAAAAAAGAACTTTTTAACCTTACATACGACCCACAGACACCTATTTCAGAAATAAATTTTCATACCAAAATATGATAATGATAATATACTCTGGGTTGAAAATTTATTTCCCAAATATGTGTCTGTGATACGCCCCTCTTTGTAATCAGCAGGCAGAGTACAAGCCCGAGTTCGAACTCGCTATACTAGAAATGTCTAATATCAGTGTATTTCATTATCACTTGTACGTTCACCATCATCACTGTACATCACTGGTCATCACTGCTGGTCATCACTGCTGGGTGAGTTTAGTATCACTGATAAGTAAAGTATCACTTATAAAGTAAGGATCATTGAAAAGTTCAATATCGATGTCACTATAGCAAATTCAGTTACTACTACATTTGACATCTTGATAAGCACTATGACTAACAATTGATAAAAATAAGACTATATTATCATATGAGTTTCAACATCATTAATCATTAATAAGCATTTTATTTCCGATAAGTTTCTTCAAATAAAAATAAATGATAATTTCTTGTAGATCTAACCTCAATGCTGTTAAAGCAGCGATGACCTATATATAGACTTTCTCAGATGATAAGAGCCTATACATAAATGTCTTTAACCCGCCCGGTACACCTTATCCAATTAATTTTATTATTTGATGTAGGGTATCATAGTCAGATGAGGTGAGCCGGATGGTCCTGAACGTAATTGCGTTTAGGATTAAACCATAGAAAATTTCAACATCGAAGTAAAATAACTATTTATTTTCGCTATATTTGGGATGGGAGAACGATAACTGGCCAACAGTTCTCAATACAAAATTGGTTATTTTCATATGTAGACAAAAATATAAAATGATCATACATATGTAATGAAATTCCACAATTAAAAAAGTAGATGTTGACTTTTGATATGAAATTACCCTTAACGTCCCCCATCTTCGGTTTTATAAAAACTTCCTTCATAACTTGTCGACAAAAATGTCTCTCGGTAACTTCATTGCTCTTTATTTGAATATGAATAAAGGTAGAAGGAAAGAAATATTGTATATAGGTTTTTAGGGGTGAAAGAAAAGAATTTTTTATTGATCTTATTTTGAAAAAGCATAAATGTTTATGTAGAGTTTCACATGACAGCAATTATCTTAACTAATGAATAATGTTTAAATTGATTATGTATAAATGCATGTTTTTTTTTAAATAATCCGAATATGCAACTGATAACTCATTTATAAATACTTATTTTGCTTGTATTCTCTGTTTAATTATCATATACATGTATGCTGCGTGCTCAAGAGGACACTGATATGGAATGATATATATAATATCATCGCGAATATGTCTTTTGATTCGTTCAGAATACATATATCACCATAACACTTGCACAAATGTACGTTTAGCCGAAAGACATCCCCATCATCTTGTCAGAAAAATATTTTGCATGTAAAGTGTATCTTGATTTGGAATAAATATGAAAAATAAAAACAAAACAAAAAAAACAAAACATGATATTTAAAAAACATCCAGGTAAAGGCAAGGGTTTAACATCTCATTACATGCACATTTTGGTGCAATTAAGGCATAATTTAATGTACTTCACATTAAAATAAACATATTCATTATAGAATTCATGTTTGATCCGAAAAATAATGTTTATGAAAATAAGATTTTTTTTATTTATCCGTAAATGAAAGAGCAGCGTTGACATATATATGGACTATACAGAGTTCTCATTAACTTCTAAAGTACACAGGCAACTTAGCCACATATGATTCTCATATGAGTATCATATGATTCTCATATGATTGGTTTCATAGAAAAAGGGCATCATATGTGAATCATATGAAGCAAATCATATGATTTACATATGATCTACATATGTGAATCATATGAAAATAACTACATATGATTTTCATATGAATGATTGAAGTGTGTTTCAAGCCATTTACATATGAGAATCATATGAAAAGGGTGTCATATGTAAATCATATGAAACACTTATGTGTGTTTCAAGCCATTTACATATGAGAATCATATGAAAAGGCCATCATATGTAAATCATATGAAACACTTGTGTGTTCTTTTTCAATATTTTTCACATTCTTGTACACATTTAAAAATCAGATATTTCTGCTTTAGATGAAAATTCATTACATTATAATGATCTATCTTCATTGGTTAAATATTTTAAAATATCTTAACATGCTTACACAACTTTTTTTGATAAAATTATTTTCATCAAGAGAAATAACTTATTTTTCACAGTGTACATTCTAAACAAGAAAATATACAAACAAGTCAGTAGCATTTATCGATACATGCATTTAACATATTCTAACATGAGTACAAATTATAAGATTTCAGCAAAATGATTTAGTAGTTAAACATGTATACTGTACATGTACAAATGAATAACATAATTAGTTCATGTATAAAAATACCATATGACATGAAAGTGTCCAAAGCAAAATTGAAATATCAGCAATAACATTTGTCATGTATTCTCTATTGTAAATTTATGAAAAATCAAGTTATTGTTTATCATAGCAAACAATAAGAATATGGGAAATTTTCACAGCTCAAATTCAGACAAGATTGTGTACATCCTCCCCATTTCATGATTATTCCATATATTTCCTTGTTCTTTTTCCTTTTGTATCTTTCAATTTTTTTAGTTGTCCTCCCTTTGATCTTCCTTGACCATTTTGAAAATCTCTTTGAACTGTACCGTACCAAAAATGAATATCCACCACTTCTCCTCTTCCTGAACAATTTCTTTGTGGCACAGAATGGTCTCTACAAAAATTTCGAAAGTAAAAATAAAATAATTCTTAAATTCTATGAGTTATAAAAGTTACTTAGGTATAATCAGCAAACAAATGTATGCCCAATTCACTGAATCAGATATGATACAAGATAAAACTAATGTTATATATGTTATACTAGGTGTTTTGAGGAATCCTATGATGTAATTTGCAAAACAATTACACTATTGAAAGATAAAATATGCTTCATAATGAAATCATAAAAAGCAATTTTGTGTTATTTTGACAATTAAATTTGGAATGTTCAAACAGTATATATTAATTCAGATTGTCAAAAAATTAAGAAGATTCTGATACAAATACATGTATATTATTTTTGGACAAAAAATACTACAGACAAGTAGACAGGCAGAAAAACAAACATTGTGATTCCAAGATATCTCAAACTTTTGGGAAGACTATAACAAAGTTTATTTAACAGTGTGTAGTTACCTTAACTTTGAAGCAAGCCTTGGATCTTGGGATTTGTTCTTAAAATATCTTATGAGAGGCTGACTGTATATTGAACCTGTAAGACAAATACTCACAGTCTCACACAGTAGATATTTTCTAATAATACATTTAATTAAAACTTAAACTATTAAAAAGAGAGAGTACAAGTTTGTAGGTTCTCTATAGTCTTAAATATATCTAACAATAGGCATGCGCACCATTCACTAGTGTTGGGGGGGGGATAATTGTCAGTCAATGAATACATAGATGTAAATATTCAATGGATTAGCTAGCTGATGTTCTTTCAACACACATGCACATGTATTTAAACCGTCACTGTTATAAATTTTTAGTTGAAATTCAAAAATCCAATTTATCCCCCCTCTCCCCAAAAAGTTATTGTATACTATATAGTTTCATAGCCTTTACAGCCAGCAAAATGTATTCATACTTTGCATATTTTAAGTGCACTGGATTAAAATTATAATTGTAGAATAAAATTTCTAGAGTATTGAGTTGAATTTATATTTGATGAAGCCTTGCAAACAATGTAGAATTATAAAAGAACAAAAAAAAAAATAATAAAGAAATATTTTGTCATAAAGAGACATTAAATTACAGATACTTTGATTTTTTAGTATTTATTTTTACCTTCAATATTGTGATGATGCAATCGTCTGTCAAATCAGCTTCAGGATTAATCGCCAGTCTTATCAGCTTCGGGCTCTTTGGACTGAAAAAAAAACAGCTCCGTGACACTGAATTCAAGTTGCCGAATGCATCTATAGGTCATAAGTTGTCATTTAGTTGAATAAGAAATCCGGACTTGATAACGATCTCAACATACATAACGCTAACTGACATACAAGGTTTCTACTTTCACTTTCATATCAGTACGTAACAAAACGAAAACAAATTCAAGTTTAAAAAAGTAATAGATCTAATGCCTTTAGCCTAACATGTAATGTTTACATTCATTCAGAAACAAATTTAATCCAAACTTACTTACAGATCACGAACGTTAGGTTTACGAAATGCATGCAAGTATTGAAGTAATAAGAATATTATATAGAAAGTTCATACGCACCATAATGAAATGATATTGAAACAATATGAATCAAAAGTCTTTTAAATAATATAATGTTAGGAGATCACTTGCTTTTTCCAAACACCCAACACGTCTGCTGCAGCAGTGACGTCAAAAATGACGTATATTTTCATCCGATAAAAGACAAAACCGGCCCCGGAGAAAAATACGGAATTATTTTAAATGTACTTCGCCAAACCCAAAAGATTTAAAATGAAAAGCAAATTAATTTATTCTTTATCTATTTTGCCTGGGAAATGCATCATAACAGAAAAAAAAATTGTGAAAGGTTTTTTTAGAAGGAAAAGGAGGGGGGGGGGGGTAAACAGAGTAGAACTTTACATATTATTACTTACTAACAAATTCTTTTGAATTAATGTACATTTAAATTTATCTTTTGATATATATTATTGAAATTGCAATTTTACTTCAGTATAACAAGGACAGATAAGTGAACACTGTTTCATATGATTCTCATATGATCACCGTTTCATATGATTCTCATATGATCACAGTCAAAATATTCGTATGAATTTTACCTGAGTATAACAAGGACAAATTAGTGAACATTGTTTCATATGATTCTCATATGATCAGTTTCATATGATTCTCATATGATTATTGTCAGAATATTCATATGATTTTCATATGCAGAATCTTTCATATGAGAATCATATGTATATTACTTCATATGATTTACATATGTGTAATCATATGATTCTCATATGATTTGCCACATATGATTCTCATATGATTGTATATACATATGATTCTCATATGATCCACATATGATCCTCATATGAAAGGCAATGCATATGGGGATCATATGTGGCTAAATTGCCTATGTAGGTGGAGAAAAAGAAAAAGTGGGGGGGCATTTCAGACTTGAGGGCCGAAGGCCCTAACTGAGGGCCAACGGCCCGATGGGGGTGAGTCCGATAGCGGGGTTTTCCTCTTTCGGCAAGCGAGGGGTCCTCCCCCGGAAAATTTTTAATTCTTACATTGCAGGCGGTGGCTTCTGGGACCTATCTGGGCATATTTTGACTTGTTTCATTTGTTCTCAATATGACACTTTTTAGGAGCCCTTTTTGCTACTAGAAAAAAAAATCACAGGATTAGCTCACACCTCTGATGATTTTAACTTCCCTGATTTTTGTAATATATGTTTGCTGTGAATAAAGTTTTTTTTAGTTGCTTTTTAGTAGCAGTTGTTTAATTGAAAACATATACATTGTTTAGATTTAACGGATACTAAACAATCTGAGTGTTTGTATCTTATTAACTAGATATATGTACGCTGTATTGCCACACTATTAAAAAAAATATGCAAGTATCATTGAAATCCATATAGAAGTCACCCTTACAATTCTTTGTTAGAAAAATAGTGATGCGCCTGTATTTTTATCGGTAGTTAGAATGATCTTATTGTGTCTCGGGACAAGCCCTCATCACAGAATCGTTCCGAAACGAATTTTAAGTATACAAAGGAATTTGCACTGAAAATAACTTCAAAATTAATAAAACCTTTTTTAGGTTGTGTATGCCTTTAAACCTAAATTATAATCCAAATAAAGTCGATAATTCAACTAATATTCTCAAAGTCTTTTTTTTTCTCTGACACGCCATGATCGCTTTCGGAACTCTCTGGAAACTTTGTGGTAGATGCACTGAGTTCGAGTTATCGCCCGTGTTTCGATCGCGATTCCTGAATCATGAGCACGTTTTTGAAAATAGGGGGTCGTAATCTTACAAGGAAAGCGTCAAATAACAATGATTTTTAGATGTGTTCGTTTTTCATTCACTAGGTTGAACAAGACAAACGGGATAACCAAAATTCTCTTCTGAAGCACAGATTTTCTTTACTGTTTTTTGAAAGTAAAATAAACGGCACCAGTGTAAAAGCAGACGGCGAAATCGCCGGTCGCTGGCACTTTATGATAACCCTGCAATATAGAGGAACGTCTTCAACCCACTCGGTAAACCCTGATCAATTAAATCTTCATTTGATGGAGGGCATTTTAGTCATGTGAGGTGAGCCAAATGGTCTTGAGCAATTGCAAAAATTGCTAAATTGGCAATGAACAGGAAAATGCTTTAGTTTGCTTTTTGAAAATAAATACGGTAAAAAATGTGTCTTGAGATCATTCTGAAGGACATTAATTAATGTGTTGGTACGCAGTACAGTAAAGATGTGCAAGGGAAATATCAACAATATTTTGTAATTAAAAATGTATTCATAATCGAGATTTTGATTATTCTTAGTACATTATTTATATTGGATAATTGTAATGATGGTTAATTACTACATTTTGTGGACGATAGGATTTTATATCAAGACTTCTCACATGATACGGCAGTCTCGTGATTTTAGCAAATTTACTTGTAGGAGTGATGTTACCTATAAATTTCATAAGTGCAAGGGCATTACCAAGTTAAAATTCCAATTTTAGTTTATAAATATTTTCAACACGCTTTTTAGTTCCTGAAAAGTGCTGCGATCCTATCTAAATTCTTCAATTTCATTATATTTGTATATGACCGAATGCTGTAATTTTTGCTGGTCAAAGGCATGAAATATTGATATGATTACATTACTTTTAATATTTTCAATACTTCTAGAGTTGAATTCTTAAAGCTTATTTTGATCTATTGAGTGTTTGCTCTTGCACAAGATCGATTTATTAAGACCCCACATTACCCTCCGAGTTGCTTGCATACAAATATACTCAGTGCCAATTAAATGCTTAATATACAGAAAATATATTTAAGAAAACGCGAAAGACACATTGAATCCACGTAAATGGCCTATAGATTATCTGTAAATAATATAAATATTACTTGATCTGCCTTTCACTGCACACAAACTACGTAACGTTTTACGAAATGACGTCACAATGACAAGTGGATTGCGATCAGTGAATTGCTGTAACCTGTTATGTTGATTCTTACTAACGACAAAACAGCATGCTGCAGTAATTTTTTTGTGCCGATGTAGATTGATGATTTCTTACAAGTTAAATTAGCAAATCATCTCATTTTGTGGTATTTAAAGAATTGTTGTATGACGTATATTTTGTATGTTTTCCCGTACAAATTAGGTTCCGCCCACTTTTTGTAACCTTAACAGCTATTGTGCTCCGTAGATAAAGAAGGGGATCGAACAATATACTTAATTTTTGCTTTTTGCGATAATTTATAGCAAAAATTGGTCTAACTAGAAATATTTTATCCAATATATTTCCATTTCCTATTGTTTTCCCTATGATAATCAATACAAAAGTGAATCTTGTTTATTTCTCCATGATTCCTGTGGCATGTAAATTTCTCTATTAAAATACTACTGAAAGGTCAAATGTCAAACTTGCATGCATATGAGTTGCGTATAAATACACTGAAAAAAGAAGATTTTTTTTTTCAATTGTTTACAAAGTAATTAGATATACAGTGTAATATTTTTTTACAAACAAAATAAATAATGAATTATCTTCGAATCAAAAGCAAGTCACTATTGCAACGCTGTTCATTATCACCGAGGCCTCGCGAGGCCGAGAGCTACACTTCCGTAAGCATGGTAAACAGCATTGTCACATAGATCATACGATACAGACATCGTCCCTCAGTTATTACCATCCAACTTCTTACGCAATTCAACGTTCTTTGTTATTTTAACACACACAGTTCTTTTTCCTGACCATGCTGACCAACTCCCGTTTCATCAACAGCAACATTGCATTAAAATGGCGGCGGAGAAGTGATCAAGAGACTATACACGTGTTCGTACTTCCGACGACGTAAATCTAGGTCACATATATAATTAAAGTTAGCAAGATTGCTTTGATCATAATATGAAATTCTTATGTTGTTTTTTTTAAAAATTTCGATATTTGAATGCAGTATAACTAAATAATCTTTGAAATTACGTCACGTGACATGGACGACAGTGGACGTGTTTTTTTTTGTCGCTCCGTGTTTTTTGACCATTTCTTCCGGATTTAAGTTGGAATTCTTTAATTCTTTAATTTCGGAAGTCTTGTGTGAGTTTGTGAGTTTGTGAATGTTAGTTAATGATTTTTGTAAACACGCTGGTTCAAAGGTCAATATAAGCAAAACACAATGTATATTATTGGTAGTCTAAAAGATAAATACACTAACATAGAAGGCTAAAGACTTTTCAAAACATGGAAAAACTCTTTGAATCTTGAAAAGCATGTGTCGTTAACTCTTTAGCTACGTCACAACTTATATACATGGAACATACTCGACAAATTAAGAAAAGTATATTTAACTTTATATGGAATAATTGCGATAGGATTAAAAGAGATACTGTGATCGGAAAACAGGAAGATGGTGGAATAGGTGTGATAGATATTGAATTGAAATTTAAATCCTTAAAGGCTGCATGGACTAGATATTTAATAAAAGAAAACTGTATAATCGGCGAAATAGTAAGAGGATATTTAAATCGCCTTAATATTGATATTAATTATCTATTAACATTATCAGAGACAAAACCCTCAGACTTTCAAATCATTTCAAACCTTCCGTTTTTTTATAAAGAAGTATTTTGCAGTTTTAACGATTGCAAAAGATACATAGATGAAACGAAATTGAATAATAATATGTTTAAATATGAAAACAAAACAATATGATCAAAAGTGGGATAACACATATTAAAGACCTTTTTAACAAAAATGGAAAATTTAAAACTCTACAAGAGTTGTCCGGTGATTTAAAACAAAAATCGAATTGGATATGTGAATATAAAATAGTAAAAACAGCAATCTATAAAAAGTCTTTAAGATTCAATGTGACTTGTTGTGCATATATA